AGTTAACTTTAAGCAGTCTGTGCTTAACCGACAGACATGTATAAGGCAACTGGTTTTGGCTTTGGTAGGGGTGGGGGTGGGCACTGTAGCTGACTGGAAGTAACCTCACTGTACTCTAAACATAAATAATACAAGCACATGCTTTGAAGGTTTTAGGAAGTGAAAGAAGTCAGCTTGGATATGAGTCAGCAGAGGAGAGGAAGGAATAGGAGATGTAAAGAGATGTGGACAAAGAAGGAGGACAGAAGGGAAGGACATGTTTACAACAGGCCTTTCTGAATAGGCATGGTAGGAGGAACATTGCAGGGAAGCAAGCATGTTGCAAGAAATGAAACATGCACTGAATATTGGTTGTATGAATGACAAGATCTTATAAAAATGTTAGTTAATCTTGGCCACTGGGCAGCTTTCTGGTACTGTACGCTAAGTTCTCTGGCAACTACCAAATTAGAAAATGCACAGGTTTGTAGAAGGCTGCATATCTCTTTCTTAAAGTGCCTCAAATGTTGATAATTAAAGTGCATTGGGATTTCATAAATATGTAACTGGGAAAAGAGTGCCGCTCTGCACCTTGCCACTTTTATTGCTACTTTTTTGGTAGTGTGTGCATATGGGAAATATGCTCCTCTTTTCATTGTTCTCCTCTTATTACAAAGCTAAAATTCACTAGTATTTGCATTTGTTCTTCTTTTAAGCCTTTGCTTACCATTTCTGAAGTATAAAAGATTTTTATTAATGGACTTTAACTCTTTAAAGTTAAATCTTTAAGATTTCATTTGCATCTAGTATCTTAACATCTTAAGCTCTGAGTGACTTTTATTATTGTAATAGGAACATTAAAAACTTTATCCTTTCCTTTGTATAGATTACACCCTTAGTTTTCAAGTATTTTGTGGCAGTCAAAGATGGACAGGACACCACGGCACTGAAAGCAGAGATTGCTGAAAAGTTTGGCAAACTTGAAGAGGTAAGAGTATTTCATGATAACAAGCATCTGGCCAGTCATTGTAAGATCCCTTTTTTCTTTCATGCTTTGGCCTTTGGAGCTATATCTCTTCGCATTCTGTTGGTAGTTACAGAAATGAACTATCTTTCAGTTTACTCCCCCCAGCCTAGGATACAGAACAGTACCATTAGAGTAAATTCCAAGTAGCTAAACTAAACTATGAAGTTTATGATAAAGCTAAACTAAACTATGAAATTATGATGAAGGCTGTAGAGACTTGTGCTTTTTTTTTTTTTAATTCTGTCTGACTGCTATTGTCTTAGATATTTTTGTGCTTTATATTTAAAGAGACCTTGCAGCATGCTCTAAGAGCAAGGCTGAGGAGTCTGAGCTGCTGAAGAGCATCTGTGCTGTAGTTCTGCTGAAATCAATGCAGATACCCTGGTGATGATATGAAATTTTTTTGTTCAAGAGCTTATCTTTTTTGGGGGTGAGGGGAAGCAGAATGTAATCTGTCCCTTGCAGAAATCCAGCCCTGGGACAAGTTCTGCTGCGGTGGTGTAATGCAGCTTCAGCAGAGCTCCAGGAAGTGTCAGGTGGCTTTGATGCTGTATTACCAACTTCACAATCCATGTCAGTAGTGGTTCTTGGCTAGTCTGAACAGCTGTTGGACTTGCTTTGTCATGAACCCATTCCTTCTGCATCTTTAGCAGCCATGACTAATGCTTGTCTAGCTCGATCAAGAAGTGTTCCTCCGGGGTATTTCTCTTCTGGTGCCAATGTAAAATTGTTTTCAGGGTAGTTGTCTGTCTGATCAGGCTGATGCTGGAGTAACGCAGATGACATATAACTTCTTGGGGGAAGCCATGTGTGTTTCACTTCCCTGAAATACAGACATACATTAAGGAAGATTTAACCTTCTTCCTGCTTTATTAATGCTGTGAAATATTTGCTGCTCCTTCAGTGTCTCTATTTTACTGTACCCTGAAGGATTTTGCAGCAGCAGCTGAAGGTCAGCTGAGGATGGGAGGAAGAACAGAGCTGTGCAAACTTCACTCAGCCTATTGTAAGACATACTCAAGAAGGGAAGTGTTTTGAAACACTTCTGTGTTTAGCTTGCTGCTACCCGACAGAGGGAGCTGTGTTCCTGTCTCTGCAACTGTGCAGCTGCTGGGTGATATTCTGCTAGACACCTGGTAATTCAAACAGCGTGATGATTCCTGAAGGACTGCTTTAAAATTTCTACTAGATCATGGGGATTAGGAGACAGGGAGTAAATACTACAGGAGTATAGTGTTGTGTGTCCAAAAAGACAAAGATCTGTAAGGTCTCTTGAGTTACACCTTTCAAAGGCCAGAGTGCCTGAAAACAGAGAGACTAGTCTTATGGAAGAAGAGACCAAGCTCTGGAGGTTCCTTAAAGCATATTAAACTTGGATGACCATGGCACTTGAAATGTATCAGAAACATCAATGTAACAGGAGAACTTGCTGCATTCTTTGTGGCTGTGCTTTCTATGCTGATCTGTGTAGATCTTTTTCTGATGTGTGTGGATATTACACTTGCTTCCTGTTCCTTTTGCACCTGGAATCAAATCCAGTTCTACATATAGTGTTAGAAATGCTTTCCTGGCACTACTTGGCCTTACGTGCAATGGGAAAAGAGTCTCTGCTAAAACAGTGTTTTAGTTTATCTGGATGTTCAGTTTAATGGATTTATTGCTCAAGATATGCATGTGCATTGTTATTTTTAATTAGTCTGTTCCATTAATGCTTTTTGATGAGTAAGAAATAATGAACTGACAGATTCTGAGAGCTAAATTCCTTTTTGTTTGTGCAGCTCGCTAGTGGTTCATGTTTTGTGACAGCTTTTGAACCACTGGAGAAGAGTTGTACTGACAGTGTTAATAGTTAAACTTGATGCTATAACTGCTTTACTGACTAGCTCCAATTCCCAAATATTGTGTGCACAGGAGAAACGTGCTGTACTTGCATTATTTGCTATCTGATCCCTTCAGTATACCTGCATTCCACTACAAGGTGGGAATGTTTTGCTACTGTAGTGTCCCACTGTGATAATTTTCCTTCTGAGGGCAATTGTTATCTCTCACCCCTCACAGATTCTGTCCAAACGCAACACTGTGTTTTATGGTGGTGACTCAGTCTCCATGTTTGACTACATGATCTGGCCGTGGTTTGAACGTCTGGAACCATTCCAGCTGAAGGAGTGAGTACCTCACCTGGCTTCTAGTGCTTACTGAAGTGCCTCAGCATAAATATTTGTTGCATACAGTCTGCAGCAATGGACCACTCTTGGGCTGCTGAAGAAAGCTTATATTGTGTTACGGTTTGGGGGAAGCATCTTCTCAAAAGACAGATGAGTTGTTCAGGGATCTCCTGTAAATAGACTTTCTTTCACCTGGTCTGTTTTCCTACCAGCTACTTTTGACAGATCTGGAAGAAGTGGTAAAAATACAGGATTTTCTCTCTGTCCCTAACGTCATAGATGAAAATGGCCTTTATTTGAAGGGAGTGGAGGTGTGGAGACCTAGGTTCAAATTTCTTGGTCCAAAACCTCAGACTTGAAATGTACTCTTCTGCTCCTCTTCAGAAATCCTAGGTTGATAAAGGAGGGTGATTTTGTTTTGAGATGGGTAAACTGTATCCTATCTTGCTGTAGCTAATAGATCTGTCCTTGTTATAATAGCATATTTTAATATGTAAATAAATGTCTTGGTCTATTATGTCCTCCAGTTACCATGGTATTGCATTAATATATAGGGAAATGGTATAAAAGGAAAACTGTTGTGTAGCTGGCTTAGAACTAAAGAGTCAGCTTGTATGAGGAGGTGGGTGATAAAAGCAGAGAATGAGTGTAGAACAGTCTCACCTTTGTGACTGAGGCATTCTTGAAGAACAAGAAAGATGCAGGGAATCCTTAGCATTGAAACTTCTGGCACTGTAAAATCACGTCTTTACTGATGGGTGGTGATAGACTTTGTATCCTGTGTGGCCCTTGATTGGAAGGGGAAATACTACAACCAATATTGCAGCATAGGTGTAGAGTCATGAAGGTATTTGAATGAATGAGGATCTGAGCCATTGTGTATTAAGAAAAGATGCTACCTGGAGAAGTTATCCATTAACCCACACAGATGTGTTTTTTCAAATGTGTCTGAGCAGTTTCTGGATTTAGTCAGTTAGTTGAATCCTCAGTTTCCTCAATAGGCTGCATCTGCATTTCGAGCTGCTGGGTTGCAGGGTAGTACAAACTGCACAGCTTGTCTAGGTATGCAAGAGAGAGGAGAGAAGAGGTTCATGAGTTGTGGAGGAGTCCACCACTGCATACAGCATTTGTTTCAAGAATCGCCATTAACAAAGCATTCCAGAAGGAGGCAGTGGTGCACAAGCCTCTGCCCTCAACTCAGAGCAGATGATAAATAAGAGCTGTGGTTTTTCAGCAGAGATAACTTAAGCAAAAACATGCTGCTACATTGTTCAGTAAGTGCACATTTCTGTTTTGCTCAGCTTTGCAGAGTGCACGAGCTCTGTAAGAACTCTTTGACTTTTCAAATGCTGGTCTGTCTTCTGTGATCTGATGTATTTTTGTCACCTGCTCTGGGCTGAACATTATACTGGGAGGAAGCAAACAAAAAAAGCGGTAAAATAGAACCTCTCAAGCTGTTTTGCTTCCTTGATGCTCTCAAAGTTTCCCAATTGCGTTACTCAGTCTCTTTCCTTTTCCTGTAGCTCTTTGAGTCACACCCCAAAGCTCCAACGCTGGATGGAGGCCATGAAGGAGGACCCTGCTGTCAAGTCTACAATGACTGACCCACAGACATTCAAAGGTTACCTCCAGCTCTATTTGAAGAACAGCCCTGAGGCATGTGATTATGGGCTCTGAGGTGCCAGCAGCCGCATGCTTGCTGAAGTGTCATTGCTTCTTTTCAGTGTTAGCTGTGGGGATCTAGAGTAATTTGATGTGGGCTCTTCTGTGGTTGCATTTCATAATGGGGAATAAATCTGTGCTGAAAAGGCTTAGAAATCTTCTGTGAACTCCACTCCTTCCTGACTGGAGGAGGATGTGTTGGATTCAGTCAGGACATGAAAAGTCATTGCTGGCCATGTATATTGCGTGAAACAAAACGTTGGCTTTACTTGGAGGTGGTGCTCTGTTATCTCTGGCCTCTTTGCAGGCGTTGCTGGTGGGCAGTCCCTGAACTGACCCTGTTACTTGGTTTAAAAATTGTAATACTCGTGTCTTGAAAATAAATAAAAAGTAAACGATGTTGTCTTTAAACACAATTTTTCCTTCCTCTTTCCAGGCAGCTATTAGTCACTGAAAAGACTTCTCTTTTTTTTTTTTCTTTTTTCTTTCCACGTAGGGGATTAAAAGAACTGTGACCCATTCTGGTGTTGCTCAGCTACATATGTCTTTCTGTCTCAGACCACTAGCAACCCAAACTAGCCATAATTCCAGGGAATAAGCATGCAGAAAGAAATAAGGGAAGGCAGTATGTTCGGGGACAGTGCTGTGGTTCCTGTGGTGCTGGGGTGGTTGTCACAAGATACACAAGACTGTTCCTATCTGTCTCCCATTTCAATAAAGTAAAGTAGCATAGCAGAAAGTAGTGGTTCATGGTTTTCCTGGTAACTGAGGCATTGATTGTCTTGGAGCTTTTCTGGAGAAAAACTGGACTGATATTTTTTTACCTTTAACATGTTCTGCCCCAGCACACTAACTCTGAGGAGGTGCATGCTTGTGTAACTTCAAGTAGGAAAGCAGAGATGAAAGACAGATTTGATGAGGAAAAAGAACTAGCAGGAACTTGATCTGTCTGCTTGTGGCTATTGGAGGGGATTGTTTATGCTCTTGCTAGCTTTAATTCAAACTGTGCAGGTTTTTTCCCCTCCTGTTTATCTTTGTGGCTTTTAAACACATCTGGCACTACTTAGAGAAATACTAATTACTGCTGTTCCTTCCAGAATGCTGATGTTCTTTAAAAAATATCCCAATCCAGATCTGATGCTGTCTATGTTTTGCAGATTGTCATTAAGAGAACCCAGAGGAAGCATAAAGCTGTGAGGTGTATTGTCAGAATGTGGATTTGGCCATTTCATTAGATGAAGGCAGAGTTTGAGCCTGATGAAGCTACTGGTCCTGAAGTGGTGTTCGTGGGATCTCAGTGGCAAACTTCCAAGGATTAACTTCAGAACATTTTGGTTTTATTAGCTGCGCTGCTTTGTGTAGGGCTTGTTAAAGCTGTTAGTATAGTTGGCTCTAAGTTGGCTTTTGTAAACATGCTAGGATATGTTGCAGTTTGCTCCAGTGTATTATTGGACAACAGTGGGAGATGTGACAATAGGGAGATCCAATAATGGGTTAAAAGCAGAGACTGGCATCCAAAATCTGAACTGTCCAGGGCCAGACCATGGTAACCCAGAGACTGTGTTGTCTGAACAGAAAGATGTGCTATCCCCCATCTTTATTTAGTGGCTGGAGAGTTACCATTGTAAGTATGCTACTTCAGCAAAAAAAAAAATGAAAAAAGTAAAATGAAACATTCTACCTTATAATTTACTATTAAATATCAGTGTTCTAAATCCCCAGGGAGACAGCTGGGGTCCTGAACTTATTACAGCACACCAAGAAATGCAGGCCTCAGGCAAAGTGTTTTTAATGTGGTAGTGAGCATGCAACACTTTGTCCCAGTTTTCGAAAGAAAGGAAAAGTTATGTTGAAGGGACTGGCTTTCTCCTTTCAGGGTGGATGGGTGTAAAGGATACATCGTGTTAGTTTAAAGAGGCCAAGAAAAGAAAACACGTATCTTCACTTTTGGTCAACAGAGGAAAAAGACGGAAGTCAATAATGACTTAAAATCTTCTGTGGATCAGATTGTACAGCAAGTAGTGTATTTACTCACCTTATACTCCATATTTTGCCCTTGAAAGTTGTTGGTGGTGCTATATTGATTTTTTTTGTTTGTTTGTTTTGTTTATTGTTATTGTGCCACCAGAAGTGACTACTTTCAGCACAGGTTAAAAAAAAAAGTGTCAAGCAAAAAAGAATGGAGACTATCTTGTAAAAATAGTGAGTTTAGGAGCATGAAGGATAGATACTTCAGATTAGCAAGGCACTGGGCCTCATTCTGTCCTGCATTTGTAGCATGTTCTGTATCCTGATGTCCTTGAGATGGTTGTTGGTACCATAACGCAAGATGTGGTCCAGCCTCTTCTCCTTCGTTATCATTTTAGGATGCCTTATACTGAAGATATGAGCAAGGTAGAAGAGAGACAATATAGAGGGAGGGATGGGGATTCCAAGCTAATAAATCTGGGAAGGTTTGCTGAGTTTTAGGTAAGATGAATGGAAACTTGGGTGAATGGGACAGAAGGTCCTTGCCTAGGGAAATTGTTGTGAAGAGCCTATCCAGGGAGGTGTTAGAAGGGTCTGTGGTTCTTGCGCTGGGAGTGGTAGTAACTGAAGATACTGGTTTGAAACATCTCAAATGTCACATACGAGGGACACCTGAAACACTTGTGTGAACTCCATAGGGATGCCTAGGGCTTTGTTGCTTTTTGTAACCAATTAAAAAGGAAGAATCAATAAAATCTCAGCTGCTTGCTGTGTTTCACTCAATCTTGGCTTCTTACCATGTTTCATTTAACAGCTGTCTGTCCTTTTCATCAGAGGTGCCTGGCAGTGTGTGAGTGCATGTGTCAGGCATGTGGTGTTGGCACAGTGTTACCTCTCCTGGGCCTGCACTCCGCAGTTTTCCACTGTCCTGGCATCTGTAACGTTCCCCTGCATTATCAAGGTTTGAGAACTGTCTGTTGCTTATCCTCTCTCCTTTCTCTGCTAGTAGCCCAATTATTTCTCTACTCTGTTCCTTGGACACTGATTTCACTTGGGAATTGCTTATGAAAATGCAGTCTCTGTACAGTCATGAGATGCAATTTTATTAAATCATTCCCATTTCTGTAAGATAGAAGCAGTCTTTTCTACTGCTGGTCCAAAGCCAATAGGGATGGCAGGTGCAGATTTATCTGAGTAAATTAGTAATGCTATGTGATGTGGTCTGGATTTTTCCCTCCTAGAACACTTTGATCTCCTAAACCAGAACTTTTAAAACTTAGCACTGAGATGCAGCTGTGTTGGGGGTGGAGTGTGACAGCTATTTAAGAGTGTGTAGTAACACTGTATCTGAGTCCACCAGGAAGTTAAAATGCAGCTTGTATTAAGGGACCAATATACCAAACCTGTTCTGTGCCATTCACAGCCATCTTCTGAGCCCAGGAGGCAGTCTGCGAGAGCTTCAGCGTGTGCTGCAGTTTTGCATCTTAGAACCACCACTCTTAGCAAAGCTGATGGAAAAAGCCATCTCTCCAGGGGAAATGGAGCCAAGAAAAGGGGCACTGACCAGCTACAGGCTGAGTAGGGAGAAGGCAGTGTTTCCTGTAAGCTGCAAACCATTTGCATGAGTCACTCATGTGACTGCACAGCAAAGGCATAGGCGGGCTGGGGTAAAAGGAGGAAAAAACTGTCAACTTCAGACCACCTGAAGAATCGATAAGGACCAACAGTGAGACCTTATGCCTTAATACTGTCCTTCCCTCAGCTCTCTGCATATATTTCCATTTCCCCAAAGGACTTTTTTGTGCCTTTCCTTCTGTCACTCAAACCATCCTCAGATGGGAGCTCTCAACAAGAATGCACTCTGGGCCAATCCACAAGTCAGAGTGGGGGCTGGTTTCTTCCCTCTGCATTCATCACACAACTCTTTTCTGTGCCTGTTTAGGCTTGGAAGCAGTCTGTCTCCTCTTACTCATAATTGCTAAGGCATGGAGATTAATCAGCTGTTTCTCCTTGTGGGAAGACAGCTCTGATATAACTCATGCCTTCAAACCCACAGGCTTCGTGCCTCTCAGTTCCTCCTCATATGCTTTATGTAGCCTGTCTGGGTTGTGCTGGTGTATCTCAGCTCTGGATCAAACTTTTCACCTCCAAAGCTGCGCCAGGTGTGGGTCTGTCAGGAAAGAGTCAGTGTGGGGCCACTGGCAGAAACCTGCACATGGACAAGTTTTGCTTTTCTCTAGCTTTGCATACAGGAGCTTCATAATACTGATGTGATGTGATAACCCTGAAGGTGAACCAAACTGGCAGGAATATTGTGCTGACAGCGCAGGATGCCTCTGTCCCATGGGAATGCCTGTGTGATGGAGGCCAGGCAGAGCTGCTGCATCACTTGTGCTGACAGGCACAAGAACCATCCAAGGCTGCCCTGCCCTGCCTGGTGCAACCTGGCAGGAGTGAGACCTGGAATATGTTAGCAAGCTAAGTACTGTCTCTCTGTGGTTTTGGGAAATCCTTCTGTGCTGTTTGATTCCCAGCAGAGGACCAGAGAGTAAGACTGAAGGTTAGGAGCAATGATGGGGAGGAACTCTTCATCAGGGGGTGGAGGGATAGGATGAGAGGGGAATATTTTTAAGCTGAAAGAGGGTATATTTAGACTAGATATTAGGAAGAAATATATTTCTGTGAGGGTGGTGAGGCACTGGCACAGGTTGCCCAGAGAAGCTGTGGATGCCCCATCCCTGGAGGTGTTCAAGGCCAGGCTGGATGAGGCTTTGGGCAACCTGGTCTAGTGGAAGGTGTCCCTGCCTGTGGCACGGGGGTTGAGACTGGATGATCTTTAAGGTCTCTTCCAACTCAAACCACTCTGTGATTCTATGATTCTCCTTGATGCACCTGGGGAGGTGAAGTGGCTGACGAGTCAGACTGTGAACAATGGTTTACTGAACTCAGCTCTGTCTGCTGGGCCTGTATTGCACTCTGTTGGATCCTGAATGTTAGATTGTCTGCAGAAAGGTGCCTAACTGGATTTCCAATTACATTATAAGTGTAGTGGTGCTTCTGGAAAGCAGCATAATACAGACAGAAATCTAATCTTGGCACCTTACATGTGATTAAGTCTTTGCTGGGTTGAGACTGTTAATGGCTGTGGGTCTGTTGGTGGATTTGAAGATTGTTTCACAACTAAAATCAACTCCTTTTCCTACAGAGCACCTAAGGCACTTTTAAGAACTTAATTGGGGTTTTAATTTTCGTTCTTGTGTGCAATTTTTAGAACAGTGCCACAGTCAGACATTTCACAAGTGCTCAAATGGCTAAACAGTGAGGGCTGTGTTTAAATTTTTCACCACAGCACCTCCTGCCCTTCCACCTCAGGGCAGATCAATAAAGCTATCAATAAAGCCAGAAATTTCTGGTGCTTTTTTTTTTTTTTTTTTTTTT